GTAACCTGAAGCGTCTATAAACTGAAGTGTCTGTAACCCGAGGTACCACTGTACAGTAAATGTACAAAAGTACAAAGATTTACAAAATGTTTAGGGGTATGTGTACCCCTGTGCACCCCCAGAAAAAAACCACTGATTAGTCCTAAGAATTAGTCCTACCAGTTCCTACCAATACTTTCTCAGAACCGGTAAAAAGGCTGAGCTGAACTTTGGCGACAGTGCAGCTAGAAGCAGACCAAAAGATGAATCCACTCTTCCCTGCAGCCACATAGCTCATCTCTTCCTCCCTCACCTCAACATAGGTGTGGAGAGTCAGAGGTTAATGGACTTCGCTGTGCTCCTTTATTGGCTAAGCCCTTTCTGCTCACGCTCCTTTAACGTTCTGTATGTCCCAAAGTCAGGACCGTCTTTTTTATTCTTGCAAGATGTAATACTGTCCTTGAGCAGTATAAATAACATTAGCATGCTGGTCTTGTTGCTTGTGTTTGGCATGTTGTTCAAGCAGAGCTGCCATTGTAGTCCTCTGAAAAGGCACACTCGAGTTGTTTGCTTGTTTGGCTTTTTGCTTTGTTGGTTCCAGGGCTTCTCGCTACTCTTGTTCAGAAAACTGGTACCATTTGCTAATTTCCATTTCCCCATGTAGGACAGCTGCTCAGGTAAGCCTGATGTAAAAGCCATAAATCTCTCCCACTGCACTGTCTGTCCCTTCTGTGGAACCAGCGGGGCAGAATTGTCTGCTTGCATGCACCAATTAGGAATCTGTTTTGCGTAACCTCATTGTTCTTCCTGTCTTTCCCTGTCAGATGCAGATGCTAGTTCCTTGCGTGTATGAACATTGTATTTCCCTGTCTGGGTGAAAATAAACAAAACTGCAGCAAGATGTCTGGCAGCAGCTTGAACACAGAGGTAGCGAACCTCAGGCCTGGAGGATGACAGAGGCCCTCTAGCCCCCTCTGCCTGGTCCTGAAGACCCTCCTAAGGTCACACCCTTCAGTGTCCCTGCTTCACACCTTTGAGTGTTTTTGCCTGCCTTGAATGCATCCTTCAGCTCTGATGATACCACTTCCTGCCCTGGATGGAGAATACAGAGGTTTATGTAAAATACACATTCATTTTTCTGTTCACTTTTGCCTCTGGCCCCATCTGCTCTTGCCATGTGGCCCCTAGAAGGAAATGTAGCCTGGAAAAAAGTTCCACAAGTTATATACGTCATGCAAAGATCATGGCCCCGCTGAAATTAGTATGGAACCACATTTTTAGGTACTGTGATGTTGGGAGCTTACAAAGGGCACTGGGTTTTGCAAAGGGTGACCCCACTGTGACAGAGCAGAAACGGCATGGGTTCCACATTGCTTCTGCCATCAAGAGCCAGTGTGGTATAGTGGTTAAAAGTGCTGGCCCAGGACCTGGGAGACCAGATTTCAAATCCCCACTCCGCCATGAAGCTCACTGGGTGACCTTGGGCCACTCACTGCCTCTCAGCCTCCCCAACCATAGCTGTCAACTTTCAGATTTGAAAATAAGGGATCAGCAGCCTTGAAAATAAGGGATCAGCAGCCACACCTGTCCCGGGGACAGTCTACGGGATATCTAACAATCTGGGATAGCAGGAAGCAGTGGAAAACGGCGCTGGAATAAGGGAATTTCCCACAAAAAAGGGGAAGGTTGACAGCTATGTCCCCAACCTCAGAGTTCCTGTGGGGATTAAAGGAGGAGAGGTAGAATCATGCACACCAGTTTGAGCTCTTTGGTGGAAAGGTGGGATATAAATAAACAAGAGCTGGTTCAGCCTGTTATATTGGATACTGGACTGGGTTCAACCATAACAATGGGGAGGGACTGTATATCAGTGGGAAAGCACATGCTTTTCATGAAGAAGTTTCCAGATTCAATCCTTGGTATTGGCAGGATCAAGCAGCAATATTCTCTCTAGACCAGGGAGATGTTGTGGGAAAGACTCCTGCCTGAGAACTACTAAAAGAGTAGACAATTCTGAGTAAGATGTACAAATTGCACTGGGTTAAAGCTGACTGAAAGTCCAGAGGTAGCATTATTATCAATTTACAATGGGGTGGAGGTTCACAGGCTATGAAGGACTTGCTCACAAATTTATTGACAGCTGCACGAATTATTATAGCTAGGAAGTGGAAGGGGCAAGCAGAATATAAAATGGAAGAATGGTATACAGAGGTGTGGGACGTAGCTATTAATGATAAATTAACATGCGGCATTAAGGTAACACGGAATATGCAGGAGAAATGATTTTGAGGAGATATGGAGGGTGTTTGTAGAATTTGTACTGTTAAAACGGAAAGGGGTCAAACCATCGCAAGAGGTGTTGAAATATTGGGAGGTTGGATAGTTACAATGGAATGGTCTCAGTGGTGGGGTGCACATTTTTATTCTTATTCATTTATATTACTTTGTCAAAATAAAATTTTAAATTTTAAAAAAAGCTGGGACAATTTGCAGTACCCAACTTGGACATTGTGGGTATTATAAGCCTTTCTCAGTACACAGGGCATGTCTTTTGGCATATATTTCCTCCATAATTTGCAATCAACACTTGACGTTAAAATGGCAGGTACCATTAAGCGGAAATTAACTGACAGCTGGCACTGGGAGATTTTAAGTAAAGATTAATGCAACTGAATTAATGGGATAACTTTGCATTTTATTTTTCTGAAGCAGTGAATCTAGACATGTTGGTATTCTAAACTCAGTTCTTTTTAGCTGTATCAATTTCTTAGTCATACCTGGGGAATTTTTTTAATAATGATAATCAAAACAGTTTTAAATATAATTTGCATAAGGCTTTCTAAAACAAGGTTTGTTCAAAACTTTTACTCAAATGTTGAAATTCCATCAAATGAACTTACATGTAAAGGAAGCTTCTACGTGTTTACTTAAGTTAGACCAAATGAATTTAACAGAATTTACTCTTTGATTCAACGTGCACAGGATTGCAAGCATCCTAGGCTTAAACATCCTAGTAATTGCAATGGGATTTACAAGGTGTACATTCTGTCGGAATTACTCCCCAGCAAGTGTAAAATACGGATGCAGTTTTATTTTTCATGGATACGATTATTTGCTCAATGCACAGGATGAGGTGAAAGCCTCAAATCTGAAGTAAATCGACCATGCTAAGGTCTGGGATATTCATTTCAACCAGTGCTTAATATCCTATTGATTCAAGGTCGGTTTTTCCTACTAATATTTCTCTTTATGTTGGAATCAGCAGTTAAGAAAGAGAAACCTTTCTGTTGCCATACCATCACAATATGTAGGGTTTTATCTGTCTGCACAATGGGGCTTCCTCTTATTCCTGTGAGCACCACCCTCATCTGCTCTGGTGAGTTGGGAGGAAGCCCCAGAACAGGTTTTTTTTGGGGGGGGTGGAGGGGGCAACATAAAAAGAGGGCAAATGCCCTGAATAAGCTCCTACCAATTGCACAAACCTGTGTCTACGGTGCTGCAGCAACAGCTTGTGCATTTCTGATGAGCACAGAAACATGGGTACCCTGCACAAATACATGAGGCACATAGCGGTTTTGGCCATCAAGGGTGTGTTTGGAGAGATGGGAGGTGAGTTAGCATGTGTTATGATGCCTGTGGCTTGAGAAATGAATGAAGAATGTTGGCTCTTCCCATCACACAGCAGTTTAGTGACAGAAGTGGAGAAGCCCAGACCAGGCAGCATGTTTCATTGTCTCCTGAAGAGGCTTTCAACCCAAGAGCTCTTGCTCCATTTCTGTCTCCCTTCAGCCCTTTCTGACTCAGAATTCTCCCCAGATCACACAACCCTTGAATTTCTTCCAAGGCCCCACCCTCACTGGCCTTTCTTCACATTCTCCTTGAGAGTATTACCCTGCTAGAATATGTCCTTGACCTCTGATAATGTCGTTTGTCTGGATGGAGGAGAGAGCGGTGTGTGCGAATGTGTACAGAAGCTACCCTACTGCAGAAGTGCTAAATTTCTGGTTCATTGTTCGGACCACTTTCATCTCTGGCCCCAGCCACCCCTGGCATATGGCCCTCATAAGGTTTCCTCATAAGGGAATGTGGTGCTAGGGTGAAAAAGCTTCCCACTCTTTGTTTTGTACCATTTAATTTGTTTTAGTGTTTTAATATTATAAACCACCATGGGTGTGCCTTGCAACACGGTGATTTACAAACAGAGTAAGTAAATAACGCTGTAACCTGACATAAGGTTAGACCACTTGGGGAGGGGAAAAAAGGCAAAGCAAACAACTGACTAAGCAGCGAAATTGGGCCTGTGTGTGGGGATGAACATTTCCTCTGTTGAATTATGTTTAAAGGCTGCATTACTATGAGCATAGATTAGATGCTTAGGCATTCAACCCGTTGCATCCTCATTATACCCCTGCTTAATGGGAAATTAAATTGATTCAGTTTCCCAATGAACAGTTATGAAACGGCATTTAAACTCTTATTAAGAATGTGTCAATGTGTGTCCCCTTAATGTAGATTATTATATGCAAGTAATTGTACTGCAGTCACTGGAATCATAGGTATCTAAAATCACCTCTGTGCTCCAAGCACAAACTGGCTCAAATACCATTACTTCATCTGAGGAACTGTAGTTTTGTAAGGCTTAATAGGGATCCCTAGACTATTTTCAATTTCTTCTGTAGGCAAAATGCAAAAAAGATAGCTACACTGACTAAGATGGAATTGTTTTAAGATGATTTCTTTTTTAAATTTCCTGCATTAAAATGCCTGAGCGACTCATTTCACAGAATGAACCTAAGCCTATTTATTAAAATGTAATGGTAGTTGAGTTTAAAAGAACTTCAAATGATATTAAGTCTCTCCGCCCCCCCCCCCACCTGAACTGCTGGACATATATGCATACATGTTGTTGTTGTTTAGTCGTTTAGTCGTGTCCGACTCTTCGTGACCTCATGGACCAGAGCACGCCAGGCCATATGCTGGACATACATACCAAATGTTAATAAATGGTCACCACTTTGAGTTTTTAGTATCCAACTTTATTGGTAGGGTAGCCATGTAAAAAATGTCGAGAGCTTTTTTTAAAAAAACAAAACAAAACAAAACAAAACAAAATTAGTATTACTTAGGTGAAGCATAACCCTGATCTTCTACAGTAAAGATCCCAGTTACAACTAGGCATTGAGAAACAAGAGCACTCTGCACTTTTCAGTGAAAAGTGGCAGTGCCTCTTCAATAGCATATGCGCTTAGAATGTATTGGCAATACTCTCTCACACACCTTTTACTCGCAACTTCCGTGAGCCCCACACTACAGGATATGTGGCATTTTGATGCTGTCTACTTTGTTCCTTCCTTCATGGCCTTCCTGAAAATGTAGCAGGCTGGCACAATCTGCTTCGTAGAAGGCATTCTTCCCTCTCTCTCAGCATGCCAAGAGGAGGTAGGGCTCCTTCTCTGTGGCCGTCGTGGAAACAGAAGCTGCTAGCCCCTTAACAGGCTAGTAATATTTGGGGCCTTAGTTGCAAGGCTGAAATAACCAGCCCAATCTTTGGATGCAGGCCTCTAGTTCCCTAATACACATTTTTTAAAAAATGGGTTGCTTGTCTGCAACAACCACATACTTTGTTTAGGAATCAATGTGCCCTTCACCTGGGGTGGTGGTGCACAGCGCTTTCAAATACAGTGGTACCTCAGGTTAAGTACTTAATTCGTTCCGGAGGTCTGTACTTAACCTGAAACTGTTCTTAACCTGAAACACCACTTTAGCTAATGGGGCCTCCTGCTGCCGCCGCGCCGCCGGAGCACGATTTCTGTTCTCATCCTGAAGCACTATTTCTGGGTTAGAGTCTGTAACCTGAAGCGTATGTAACCTGAGGTACCACTGTATGAGGACACTCAGCCTCACCTAGGTCAGTTGGCACTGTTTGCCATCATGGGGACTGGGACTCTTGTCAATCCCTTTCCCCACTCACATCCACACAGCGACTGCAGGCAGGTATTTGCAGTCGCAGCTGAGCACTAATACAATTTACATTCCCCATAAAGGAAATTGTAACGGGAGAAATTCCAGCCTGCACAGTGCGCCTCTGTCAGGCCAACTGCATTGGTTTGTGAGGCTAATAATCTTTTTTCTGTGCAGTCATAGCTGCCCACCTGAAGAATGAGAGAGGAAGGGGCAACTAGGAAGGGAGATGAGAGCGTTTCATTCTTCCAATATCTAGACATTGGCATCATAATCAAAGTTGATTGTCGGTACATTTCAGGGCTTATGAGCAAAAGTACTTTTCACTCTGCACAACATTAACTTATGGAACTCGCTACCACAAGAAATAGTACTGGCCCCCAGCTTGAAGGCTTTGAAGACAAATTCATGGAGTCTGATTTCTCCACAAGCAATGGTCAGGGACAACATAAGCTTTGAAGAAGAGGAGGAGGAGTTTGGATTTGATATCCCGCTTTATCACTACCCGAAGGAGTCTCAAAGCGGCTAACATTCTCCTTCCTCCCCCACAACAAACACTCTGTGAGATGAGTGGGGCTGAGAGACTTCAGAGAAGTGTGACTAGCCCAAGGTCAACCAGCAGCTGCACGTGGAAGAGCGGGAAAGCAAACCCAGTTCCCCAGATTACAAGACTACTGCTCTTAACCACTACACCACACTGGCTCTCTGAGTGCCAGATGCTGGGGTTAAGCAAGATTTGGCTGTCACACTCATACCCCCACCTTCTGTGCTGCCCAGAAACAACAGACAGGCTAACACTAAAGACACAAATCCTGAGTTCAGGGGTGAGGAACCTTTTTGACTCCATGATTGTCCTCAAGGGCCAATTTTGACAGGGAGCAGGCTGTGTGCCACCACTGCAGGATTAACCCCGGAGGTTCTCCACCCCTGACTTAGACACAGAATCATAGAGTTGGAAGGGATCTGCCAAAGGCCATCTAGTACAACCCCCTGCAATGCAGGAATCTCATGCATCCATGACAGAAGGGCCATCCAACCTCTGCTCAAAAACCGCCAATGAAGGAGAGTCCACAATGTCCTGAGGGAGACTGTTCCAATGTCAAACAACTCTTACTGTCATAAAAGTTCTTCCTGATGTTTAGTCCTTGATCTCCTCTACAAGGTTAGTGGTTGGGAGGAGATGAGTTTCATAGAACTATCAAGTGCAAGGAGTTCTTTGAAAGCCAAAGGTTTGCTTTGCTTCTCTTACTAACCCATGTTCTCCTGCATGAGCTACAAAATGGAGACCATTGCTCTGTGCACTCAGGTCTATCCCTCCTCCAGCTGTAGCCCAGCTGTGGGGAGCTTTGGCCCTCCAGATGTTGTTCAACTACAACTCCCATCATCCCTGGCCATTGGTCATACTTGCTAGGGCTGAAGGGAGTTGTAGTTCAACATCATCTGGAGGGCCAGAGGTTCCCCATTCTTATAACCTGTGAAGGAAAGAACCACCAAGCTTGGGCTTTGATCTTGCAAGAGCAGCTGCCGCAACCACATTAAAAATGTTCTATTTTAGTATTTGAAGACTATTTTTGTTTGCCAATAAAGACATGGTTTCATTGAGACAAGGGAGGAAAAGAGCCCATCGCTCACCGTGCATTTCACTGATTTTAACAACAACATGTTATATATCAACAAAGAATGTTCTCTACTCATTTATATCAGTTTCAATGTGCACAATGATTCACAGTCTTTAAATTGCTCATCTTCAAAACCACCAAGCAGTGCAGATTATTTGTATTGCCCATTTGGAGAGAGGAAAAACAGCAGCTGACAAAGGCCACCAACCAACTTCAGGGCTGAGCAGAGATTTTGAACCAACCTTCTCTGTGGCCTAAGCCTAGATCTGAACCACACTTACACAGTTCAGTGGGGCTTTACTCCCTAGCAACTGTGCACGGGACTGCAGTCCGGATTGCATAACGAAGCGGCAGAATATGGAGCAAGGGACAGAACAGTGGAATGCCAGTGAACTCTACAGTTTTGTCATCCTAGGCAAAACTCATCCTTCCCTCTTCTACGCAAACATACCTTCAAACTGAAATTCTGGCTACATTAAAAAAAAGAGAGATTTGTTACAGCTTCCACCATCCTGACTTTCCCCCTCAAAGGAGTTGGTTTTGTTTTTTTAAGGATGAGTGTCTACCCAATGAGAGCAAAGAAGCATGTTTGAGGGATTGTCAAATGATGAGATTCCACTAGTTGCCTTCTGTTTTTATTTTCTTTTTCTCTGGCTGGCATTCCTCAGCCTCGCTAGGAGCTGGTGATTCTGGAGCTTTGGGAGCACTGGCGTGGTGGGCCCCCAAAGCGTTTGGAGCATTGTGCAGCGCCAGCGGTGGCGGCGATGATGATGATGGGAGCAGTACAGAGGTGCTTGGGGAGGAATGCGGAGGCTGCCCTTGGGATGTGGAGGGCACTGGAGGAGGTGGCGCCCTGGTGGCAAACAACCGTGCCAGGTTCTCCAAGGCAGCTGTCTGCCTGTCCATGGCATCTGCGATCCGCCTGGTCGACGTCTCCATAAGAGTGATGAGTTTGTCCATGTTTTTGGTGGCCTGGCCCACGTGACTTGCGAGGATGGTCAGCTCCTCCTTGCGGGCATTGCTCTCCCTGGCATGCGTAAGCTCAGATGTCTCCCTGTGCCTCGAGTGCAAATTGGACAGGGCGCACACTAGCCTGTCGCCCACTTGCGATATGGCATCCACGAGGTCCGAGGCAGCGTCGGGTTGCTTCCTCTGTTTCCTGCTCCAGTGGTTGCTCGCTCTGTCAGTGTCGGCCAGGGGCCCCCTGGGGAAGGAGCTGGATGGGCCTGCAATGGAAGACAGTAGGAGTTAACAAAATGGTGGCATTCTGCAGGTGGCCAGCAGCACACCAGATGCCAAAAGAAGTTAAAACAGCAGCAGCAGCCTACACTTAAAAGCAGAGAGGAACCTGTGGCCTCGCAGCTGCTGTTGGGCCTACAAAACCCATCATCACTGACCATGCTGGCTGTGGCTGATGGGAGCTATAGTCCCAGGAACATCTGGATGGCTCTAGGTTCTCTTAATTTCAGCCAGTGTTCACTAGGGCTTAGCTCTGGAGCATGCCCAACAATGCTAAGGAGACAACCTCTGACATTTGTGTGGACCACCCCCCCTCACTAAGTAGCTATAGCCAAACCTCATACATTTGGGATTACAACAGGGATGGGGAACCTGTCATTATTACAGGTCATTATAACATTATTACATTATTACAACTCCCATTATCCATGACTATTGGGTTATGGTGGCTGGGACTTATTGGCATTGTAGAATTTGCCATCTGGAGGACCACAGGTTCCCAATCCCTAGATTACAGGGACAGGCTTCTAGTATATAAGTGGAGTCCTCGCAGCACATCTCAGAGGTGGTTTTTTTTTAAAAAAAAGAAATCAAGCTCAGCCCAAACCACCATCTTAACTTAACCCACCTAGGTGACATTGCTCAAAGGCAATGATCTTTGAAACAGGAGTTGAATTCTCAAAATTCACCTGAATTGACAGCCGAATGGCTCTCTCCTCTAGCACTGGGGAAATGGGGCAAAGCCTCATCACCTGCCAGGATGTCGTCTTCTCCGTGCTGCTCCCATTCATCATCTGGAGATTGGGCATTCACGGGGTCGGAATCCATCCGCGGGTCTTGAAAATAGCCATTTGAGTCATCTGCAGGCTCTGGGATGGAGGCTTCATCGTCGTCGGAAACGAGGACGACGCTTAGTTTTTCGTTTTTCTCCTGCTCCAGCCCCAGCTTTTGTGCCTCTCGATTCCTCCGATCTATGGAGAGGGAGACTTTGGATACCACCAGGCCTTTGTGCATGCACAGGAAACTATTCAAGGAATCATAGAATGGCAGGGCACGTTGGCCACTCACAGAGGAGTTGTTTCCACAAACAATGGCCTTGTATCCTCGCCGAAGCTCTTTGGCACGCAAACGGCACTGCTTCATATCCCTGTCATAGCCGTATTCCCGCATCCGATCAGAGATCCACTCATACTGAGCCTCGTTGCGAAAATTGGTGGCCAGCGAGGCTTGGACTTGGTCGTCGCCCCAGATCTCAATGAAGGTCCGGATTTCTTCATCAGGCCAGTAGGGGTTACGGTGGCGAATGCTCTTTCTAGGAGCAAACGGCTGGATGTTCATATTCTCCCTTGGCAGTTGTTGCTGGTCACGAAGCAGTGACTTGGCCCCTGCAGACAAGGTACGTTTTGCTGATATGTAATACCTAGAGCGGAGATTGTTCAGCTCTTGCAAGTTGTTCTGTAGATTCTTTAAGAGGTCGTCATTACCAGCCATTATTTTCTTTCTGCTTCTGCTGCCAAAAGAGAACCCACGCCAGTTAAAACCTCACAGGCACAGCAGAGGTTATTCTTTCCCCTTTAATTGGTTTTCTGACCTTCAGAGAGTTATTTGGCAAGTGGCCCCGATCACGTAAACTATCAATTTAGCTTAGGAACACAAACGTGCCGTTCTCCCAGTTACAACAGGCCCCTTTTAGAAGGATGTACATACCGCTATTGCTGAACTGTTTGTTTATATGTATTGTTGTTTGTATGTTCTCCTCCCTAAGGAGAAATACAGGTGTTTTGGGAAATGATTGTAGGCTACAGTACTATACCCACTTACTTGGAAACATCATTTATGTATGTGAGGCTTGTTTCCAAACAAACACGTAGAGAGGATTGCAAACATTTATGGAAAAGGCCATCAATAGCTACTAGCCTCGTTGGCGATGCTCTACTTCCAGAGATGGGTGCAGTATGCTTCTGAATTGCTAGGACTCAGAAGTGCAGGGAGTGCTTGTAAATTTCCCATAGACATTTGGTCAGCCACTGTGAAAATAGGATGCAAGACTAGATGAACCTCTGGCTTGATCTAGCAGGGATTTTCTCATGTTCTAATTTGTCTCATATGGACAGACACCTCCAGCGGGTCCCTGGGTTTTTGAACTGACATGGGGTCAGTGGAACAGCCACACAAATTTAGATCCTGGACTTATCTGGGAGACAGGGCTATTTAGAGAAGCATGGAGTTTATGAATAACGCAATTAATGTTTTTTCTTCTGCACACCTGACGTGTTTGGGTTTTGCTCTACCAAAAAAGTCTGCCTGCAAGTCCAGCTCCAGCTGCACCACTGCATGGAGTTAGCTTGTATTTTAGCAACTTGTGTGGCAGCCACAGGTGACCAGGAATTCCATGCAGGCAAACAAGGGGGCTGGTGGAAGAGGAAATGATTTATCCACAGTCTACTTCCTTTCTGTGCAAATCACAAAGAGAGGGATGCCCTTTTCTCTACAACTATCACAGAAATACAGACAGCTGCCAAAGGAGGGGTGGATTGCTCCATCACTCCCCTGCCAGTCTATTTGGTAGATCTTTTTTTTTACTAGCCAGCCAAAAAGCCACAAGCCTGCATTTCCATGCAGGTGATGGAAGATAGGCTTCCTCTCTTGATAGGTCAGCACGGAGACTCATAGCAGGCTAGTATAATTTTTTGCAGCCTAGATTAATTTTATGGACTTCGAAGTCTAAAGCCACATTCTGTGTTGCTTTACTCAGAAGTAAATCTCAGCAGGTCCAATGGTACTTACTTGAAGCAAGCCTGCATGTGATGCAGGCCTTGTTGAAACAACACCATCTCACTTTATTTGGGAGTAAACATTTGCATCACACAAAAGACTTTCTGAGCTTTAGGCTGTGATTTTAAAGACAAATTTGGAAAGCAAGTGCCATTCAGGCAATTGAGATGTACTTCCAAGTAAGCAATTCAGCACAAAACAAAAGCATGCAAATGTTTCATTTCCCGGTCAGGGCTCACTCAGCCATGTCAGCAGAACATAAAAGCAAGACATTAGCTAATGTAGACACTTAAGAAGATGACAAATAAGCCTCACTATTAGCCAAAAGTCTCTGCAGGGATAACAGAGTAAGGCACATCTAGTGGTCTGTTCTTATAGGGGTGGGCAAACTGGATCTAGGATGTATAGACAACAGGAGGGAAAATCACATGGTGGAATGCTCCTTCCTTCAAAAACCTTCCATGCCTATAGAAAACTAGTTGCAAGAAGGCTTAGCTAGACTTCGCTTTTATGGATGGGCATTCAATTATGCCAGCCTCTATCTGCATCTTGAGGTGGTACAGCCCAGACACAGGTTTACCTGCATCTGAGCCGTACCACTTGAAGCCACAGGGGGTGGCTTGCATAATTGAATGATTGTCTATATTAGTAAGATAATAGTAACAGAGAATTAGGCCTATATAGCTAGAAGGACCCAGGAATGAACAGGTCTCCAGTACAGACAGCTGATATATGACAGGTTGGGCATGCAAAAATTACTGGAAAGCTCCCTTCTTGAACTCACACCTTGAGGGTGAATCTACAGCTTTCCGGAAACACTTCTGCAAAATAAAACCCCCACCAGGCTTAGATAGCTGTCTAGCCAGCAAAGATGCTACCAGTTTCCCACATTAAGTTCAGCCTGCAGTTATTTCCACCTGCAGTACTCCTAAGGTACCCCTGCAGCACAGCTCTGGCATTTCTAACACAACAGAGCGAAACAGAGTCTTTGGGTTTGCAGATCAGTACCACCAGACTCCAAGAAGCTGGAATAAATCCAAGGGGCTTCCTCCAAAAACCCATTTATAAGAATCCCTCCTCCCTCCAAAAGCCACAATCCCTTTTTAGCTGAGCAGCAGATGCAGATGGCAGATTCTCCAGCAAACTGAACACCAGACTTTTCACAGGGTATGTGAAGACGAGCATCATTTTGCATCTCATGGGGAACTTGAAATCTGGAGTTGTGTTTTTTTTTTTAAGTACTGGAAAACAACAACTCTGGGGTGCAACATTTAACTCTTCCTGGTGTCTGATTCTGCCCCTCCTCCAAGCAACAGACCTCCCCTCCCTCACCCACTTCCAGGGACACCCAGGGGTGCTCTCCAGCGTTTCGGTGCCGGCCAGGGGTTTCCCAAAGCATCCCGACCCTCCCGGCCGCCTTTCCCCAAAAGCTCTGCCGCTCCCCTAACCCACAGTCGCACACTTACTTGCAAGTTCCCGGCTCGCTCGTGGGCATGCAGGCCGGCTGCGATTGGCTCCCCCGCGTGACGGGCGCGGCGCCCGCCCAACCAGACGCGGCCTTGGGGAGGCAGGACGAAGCAGAGGAAGAAGGCGGGGAGCCAGCGCTCAATCGGGGAGGCGGGGAGGGGCAAGAGTCAAGCCCGTGACTGACGTGCGGAGCCTCGAATCAGAGGGCGGACAATGGGGAAAGGGAACTAAGGGGGTGTAGGAAAAAATAGAAATAAAAAGTAGTTGCAAAAGAAGAGAAGCCGCAAATAGGAGCAAATGCATTTAACGCTGGTTAAGGAGGGGATCTGCGATCACAAATGTTGCAAAAGCAATAAATGGATGAGCATGAACAAAAGCAGAGGTTGAAATGGATATAAAACAATATTATTATTTTTTTAAAAAATCACCTTGCAAACTGTGTGAAGCATTTGGAGCCGGGCTGGCGGGGCGGAGGGCGCAGCAAACTTCAAGGAGGAGCAGCAGCAGAGCTGGCCGGGAAGCGGAGCAGCACAAGTTTGATGGTCCCCAGGCAGGCGGGCAGCGCTTGCAATTCAAATAAACTTTCCCTTCCCACCATGCTGAGAGAGGCCCATGTGACCATCAGCAGCCAGACCTCCGGCCGTCCGAGGGGTGGGGCTCCGGCGGCGCTTTCGGCCGCGCGGCGAGGGTCATTTGGAAGTTAATCCCCTTGTCGTGGCTTTGTTCGGAGGAGCTCGCTCTGCTGGCGATAGGCGGCTCCGGGTTGCCAGGGCGGGGAGGGCGCTCAGCTCCCCCCCCCAAGTATTTTGCAAACAGCCTTTGCCAAAAAAACAAAGCAAAAACCAAATGCATATTCTCATCCACAAACATTTCCCCCGGGAAGGAAGCGTCAGGTTCCCCAGAGCAGTCATAGAATATGCCCTACACTTAATAAAACACCTTGTTGAATTCGGAGGCGATTTACTCTCGGGATTGCAGCCTTGTCTGCTCAGACGGACGCCCTATTGAATTCAATGGAGCTTCCTCCCAGGGTGGTATGGTGCTGTGCGTTTTGAAGCAAGTCTTCAAAAGCTCTCCAGAAATTTAGGGCGCCCCATGCACCCCACCAAGGAAGTGGCTTGCTCAAACTACATTCTGTTAGATGCCACCAGTGGCATAGCGTGGGGGGTACAGGGGGGGCCGGCCGCACCGGGCGCAACATCTGGGGGGCGCGCGCTCGCACTCGCAACTCTCTGCCCCTACCTGGCTCCACGGGTTAGGGGGCGCAAATTACTTGCCCTGGGTGCTGACAACCCACGCTATGCCACTGGATGCCACCCCAGTCTAGTAGCAGTAAGAGACTCCAGGGGGGCACGCACACAGCCGGATTCTGTTTGCTTGGAATGGAGGCCAGCTGAGACGCTGATGTCCTTGGAATAATATGGATAACCAAAGGATGTTGGTTGTTGACCCACTTCTCCTTTACATCCATTGTTTATCAGCCAAAGCTGACATGGAACATTTTTGGGTCACATGCCGCTACTGAGAATTCTAGAAGGAAAGCTGGGCTTTAGAAGAGTGATGAGGAACCTGTGGCCTTCCAATTGTTGTTGGACTCCAGTCAGGATGGCCGGTGGTCAGGCGTGATGGGAGTTGCAATCGAGCAATATCCAGAAGGCTACAGGCTCCCCATCTGTGGTCCAGAAGTTTCACCAAAGTTATCGACCTGATACTTCACAGAAGGGGAACCTATGACTCTCCAGATGTTGCTGCAGAATAGCTGCCATTATACCTATACATTATACCTATACCTATACCTATACCTATACCTATACATTATACAGTAAGAGCTGTTCGACAGTGGAATTTGCTGCCAAGGAGTGTGGTGGAGTCTCCTTCTTTGGAGGTCTTTAAGCAGAGGCTTGACAACCATATGTCAGGAGTGCTCTGATGGTGTTTCCTGCTTGGCAGGGGGTTGGACTCGATGGCCCTTGTGGTCTCTTCCAACTCTATGATTCTATGATTCTATTCTATGATTCTACCTGGCCATTAGCCATGCTGTCTGGGAGTTGCAGTTCAGCAGCATTTGGAGGGCTACAGGTTCGCTATCCCTTTTTTAGAGAGACTGACCACCCAGGACAGGCATTTTCACAGCCATCTGTTCTACTGAGCCTCAGGTAACATCAGTTCTGGTTTTTTGCACTGAATTGTTTCCCCCCTCCCACTTTAATGTAGTATTTCACTGATTGCAGACAAGCATTTAGGGATGCCACCCAGATCTGATGCAATAGAAAGACATTCCATTATTTCCCCATCACCTTGCATGCTGCCTGTACTTGTGTATGCCGAAACACCTAGAGAAATACGTACCTGTAGGTGCAATTATGTACCTGTAGGCGCAATTATGTATCTGTGTGCACAATGACTTTGTTGCAGCAAGGCTTTTACTATGATCCCCTAAATGGTGGTGTTCTTCACTGGAAAGGTTGGCCAGTCAACATACCTGGTACAAGGGGCCCATGCTCTGTTGATTCTTCATCCCGAAAGGAGTATCTGTAATCCTCAGGCCTTGTGAATTGAAGCAACCTTTGCAATCTAGTATCATCTTACTCATTTCCCACTTCTAAGTATGCTGGGAATTCAGAAAGGTTCATTGTCAAGCTTTCTAATGGGCAAATTTCAAAGCGGTGGATAACTACTCCAGTTTTATAATCAAGATGCCATATTCCTTAAAAGTAGCTCTTCAAATTTCATCTGGAAGAGCCTTGACCAATAGTCAGATTTTTTTTGCTCACCCACTCATCTCACTAGAAAGTTAGCACTCTGAAGTCCTGGCTATGCCCTCAAGGATAGTATTTAACTAGTGGCTTCTTTCATCACTGTCATGTTAACAACCTCCCCCACTGAAGTTTAAGCATTTTAACCTCATTGGGGGAAAACACCAAAAGTACTAAACCATATACAGTGCTGTTTTTCTAGAAGAAGAGGTGCCAAAAGTCACCACAGAGGCCTCCCTTGTTCCCCTATAATGGCAATGTCTCCCACCTGAGAGGTGCTGGAACTGAGTTCCAGCTGTAAAAAAAAAAAAAAAAGCTCTGACTGCATACATGTTAAACAGCAATGGCAAGCTACTAATCTCATGAATTCAGAATTATTCCCCACAACTTTCACAACATGTCCTTAAATGTCTAATTCTTGAAGATGCATGACGTCAACCTGTAACTTAAACAAGCCTAGAGTGCAATTCTACACATGCCCGCTTAGAAGATCTATTAAGTTCAATGAAATTTACTCCCAAGTAAGTGTTTATAAGATTGCAACCCTGGAGTTTTACGTTACTCCTATGATCAACAAAGAATTCAAACCAGAGAGTGTTGTGTTAAGTAGTTTTGATCTGTTTGCTTTCGAAATGACAGATCTGCAGAAATGATATCCTGCAGATGAATACGAATGAAAGCTTTTCAGACATAACTGTGGTGTGGTTTCTGTTTTTTATTCTGACTGCATTCAGTGACGGTGCCCTTAGAAGCCAGAAGCCAAATACAAAGTATTCTCACTGTTACGATAACTTTTAAAATACTATTGATTTTTTTCCAATCCAGTCTTAGGATTACTTGAGGGCGTGATTTATGATCTTTTGAAATTTGCAATTTGTGGTGTTGCTAATGGCCTCATTCATCTCTCTGTTCTGTTCTCACACCCCACCCACATTTCACTTCAAATCGAGACCTCTTCATTCTCACAAATAACAAATCAGGGATGTCATAGTTTCGCTGTTACAGTCGTACCTTGGAAGTCGAACAGAATCCATTCCGGAAGTCCATTTGACTTCCAAAACGTTTGAAAACCAAAGTGCGGCTTCTGATTGGCTGCAGGAACCTCCTGCAGCCAATTAGAAGCCGTGGAAGCCCTGTCAGACTTTGGCTTCCAAAAATAGTTTGCAAACCGGAACAGTCACTTCTGGGTTTGCAATGTTCAGGAGCCAAAATGTTCCGGAATTGAGCTGTTTGACTTCCAGGGTATGACTTTATTTATAAACTCTTTACCTCCAAGGAAGGCAATATGGTGCTTTCCAAATGCTGCTGGACTCCTAACTCTTATCAGGCTCAGCCTATGTGGTTAATCGTCAAGAATGATGGGAAATGTAGCAGCAACATCTGGAGATGGTTACCCCTGACTGACACTGAAAGAACAACAGCCAGTTTTGAGCAAAACTAAATATTATCACAGGAGAGAAGATGGTTTGAGCATTTTTGAACATAAGAACATCAGGAGAGTCTGCTGGATCAGGACAATGGTCCATTAAGTCCAGCATCCTCTTCCTACAGTAGCCAACGATATGCCTATGGGAAATCTGCAAGCAACAGTACTTTCCTTTTCTGCAGTTTCCAGCAACTGGTATTCAGAAGCATTGCTGCCTTCATCTTTGGAGGCAGAGCACATAGCCACTACACACAGTAGCCATCAATAGCTTTATCTTCAGACCTAAATGTTTTGTTTAGTTTTTAATTCTTCCTCCCAGTTTCACAAATTTCAGCTATACAGCTGCAAATAAAACGTTTTAAGTGTGTTTTAGGTGCAATATACAATGTGACACTAGATGGCGGTGGTGAGCCTTATGGAAAATGCAACATATTTTTAAAAATGCTTTTTTTAATTTTAAAAAAGCATTTTCAGAATGGTTTTTATATGTGTGTAGATTCCACCCAACTCAGTTTGACAATTTAGTCCATATGAATTGCTAATTAGCTTCAACTCATACGCCACCAATGTCAAATAACATATCAAATGCTTGGAAGAGGCTTTAAGTATATGTAGCTGGCACAGTTTGTTTCATTTGTGTCTGGAAGCATGAAACAGCATTTACATAGTGATTAAAAAATGGAGTAATATCCACTCCGAGTTGAAGCTTAACAGAGCAGCTGTGCTGGGCTCTTGGTGATGCTGCTTCACATCCCCAGTGTGCAAAGGAAGCCCAGGTTCTCTACCTGCATGTGACTGAGCCAGGGGAAAGCGATACGTTAAAGAACATTGGATCCAAACACCTCACACAAAGACGCAGGAGAAGCACTGGCTAGTGATGCTTTTGTAGACTCTGTTCTTCCACCTGTTACATCACATGATGGATTTCTTTTGTGCTCTCCAACTTATTTAAATTCATGGGGGGGGGGGTGGCTCCTGCACCATTCTTCAGAGCAGAGGGTGTCCCAGGAGAGCTGCTCTACCCTTAGACAAGCAAGTCTCCGTCAGCAGTTTGTGCGTCACTTACTTTCCCCAAGTTCTGCCAGGAGTGGGCTCCTTCCTTCCTCGGGCTCCTAGGTCTGTTTCCCAGCAGCCCACCTGACTGCTCTGCCCACCCTCAGCTGATGGGTTGCCAGGGACAACCCCCTTTCCCCTTGGCTCCAGCTGGTTTCATCAGTAAGAGCTGAAGAGTAAGGCACAGACTGCCCTTTAAAAGATCTGTCCCTTTCTCTTCTTGTCCTCTCTCACACCTGTTTCTCCTTCTCTTCGGAGCATTCCAGTAGTTCTTGTGATGGGGTAGCCTTTCCCCCACCCATCTCCTCCCAGAGATCTGGGGAGAGACAAGGTTTGTACTCTCTGGGTCCCACACAGTTGGCTAACATCTCCTGTCACCTTCAGGTATCCCCCCCCCATGCCTGACCCCCTCTTTGTAATCCCGGCCTGGTGGGACCTCTCTCTGTGCTCTTCCCGGGGCTCCCAGTCAGTCACTTTCATGCTTGCCTCTTCCTCAGCAGCCCTCAACTGCCTGAAGGGTTGCTGCAAAGGTGCTCACTGAGGTGAAGCCATCGGCAAAAGCCTTGGCCAAGGCAGAAAGGTGGGCTGCTGCCTGTCCTCTCAATCTCAGCCCTTCCTTCCTGGAAGGCCCCCTAACAGTGTGGCACAAGCCTGCCACTTTTGTGGATCCTGGCAAAGAGCAGTTCAGCAAGATCAGCTGTGCACAAGCATTTAGTTGCTATTGGATCAGGCAATGGTGCGGGATCCACATGCATTCACTCCAGTAACTGACAGGACAAAATTACACAATTACGATAAAAATGTCCAGTATTAAAAATCCAGGGATTGTTAATCTAAGCATTTTAATCTGTGATTTGATCATGTATCAGGTACTGGATACTCAAATTCCACATCAGGGCTCTTCTAAAGGACTAGATAAATTCAGTTCCTCTGAAGCATTTTGTCTGTTTCCCAGACTCTATCAATTTGGTTTTTGAATTAAGCCCAAACAGCAGCAGATAAATTCTAATCTCTCTGTCCTCACAGCCCAAAATGAATGGTTCTATTGTTTTCCCTCTGGCGTATAAATTCTTTCTAATAAAGTCACAGGAACATTGGAAGCTGCCTTACAACAAGTCCGGCCATTGGTTTCTCCAGGTAAGTATTGCTGCCAACCCTTTTGAGACAGTGGGCACATGTGGAATTTGGGGAAAGTATTGTGGGAGCCAGCACAAAATGGCTGCCGTTGGGTGTGTGACATTACACAAAATGGCTGTCATATCTAAAAGAGAGCCACAAAGTGGACCGCCCCATTATTTGGGAGGAAAAGGCCTACATCAGACACTGTTGCTCACAAAGATAAGTTATTTTTAAAAACCTCTGTTCAGAATAGGAGGATATGCATCCAGTTGTGGTGTCCAGTGAAATGTGGCCATGTTTAATGTAGGTGCAAACAGGAATTCTGTAGAAATATCAAACAGTCTCTCATGCATTGAGAATCTTTACTGGTTCTCTTTTTGGTTTCCAGAGGCACTATGTTGGCAAACTCACTGACTCACAGTTGCTACCCAGGATTTCAAACAGGGGACATTCCAGACTTACTTGGAACTGCCAAGAATTGAACTTTGAATCTTCTGCATGCAAAGCAGATAGATGCTCTGCCAATCAGCTACAGCCCTTCCCTCCTAGCTATGGTCCCACAATAAGAAGACTTCTGGCTGCTGGGCAGTAAGTCCCCACAGTTCAAGACCTAAGCAACTCAGACCCAGTTCAAATAACATGGGATTACCTAGAGATGTTTTGAATGAAATGCTGTTGCTCTGCCAGAGTCATGGGGGGGGGGCAGGCCCATGGTGACAACATGGTGTGCTTTTCAAATCCCTGAAGAGGGTCTTGTTTGGTCTTGCACTGCTATGAGAGGAGAACACTTTCTCTAGCAAATGATACCATCTCATTTGTGCACAGTTTCCAATCTTACCACTGAGTGGGAGTATTGTCGCAAGGAAGAGGACAGAACAGACTGCTCAAGAAATCTCATTCTTTAGAGGCATTAAAATGAGACAAGGGATATTGCATTAGTGCCCTCCCCATTCTTCTCCTTTATCTCACAGGAGAAAGAGAAGATGACTTTTTTTTGTGACGAATAATAGTTTTGTGATTGATCAAACTCCAGCTTAAAGTAGATTCTGGTCAGCAATATGTACAACTGTGAAACTAACTCCACAATCCCAAAGGGCCTTTAGGCTTTCGCAAACGGTAGGCATCCATGCTGCATGGCAAATCGCTTTTGAGACTAAAGGGAGTTTTAAAAGCATACCGTACGGTGATGTGTTTTGAGAGCCTGATGTACTAAAAATAAGAGCCGATTCCAGCATATTGCTTTAGAACTGGTGTAATGTATAGCAGAGGTGGTTTGAGGGTAGCACGACTGGTGAGGTCGCACTGGGAGTCAGTCTGGAAGGGGCACCAAAGCAGAGCGGGGGAGGGGGGCACTGAATTTAAGCGTTGCATGGGGTGCCACTGAAATTTGAGAGCCCAAACTCCACCACTTCAAGAGGCAAACTATGACTGGGAAGTCCTGGCTCGCATCTCACCTCAGGCATGAACTGACAACGTGGCCCTACCCAAGCCACTAGTTTTTCCATCTTCCATCTGTTTTGCCATTGGACATATAGAAATTATGATACATATCTACTATACCGAATTGTTGTGAAGACAACTTTTTTGAAGTGCTCTGGAAACTCTGATTAGCACTGTATAAATACAAATAATCATTGCTTGCAGTGAATTAAAATGGAACTATTTCCTCAGCATTAGTTTTAGTTAATGGGCAATGTAAAACTTGCATGTTTCACCTGTAGCTTAAGAAATTTGAGAGATACGAACTCTGGGGATATGAAATCTGAAGAAATGAAAACTCAGCCCAAGAGCTTCAACCCTAATTACAACACACTCTCTCTCACCAGCAGATAAATCTATTCTAATTTGGTCATTCTGTACTCTCTTCCAACCCCACCCACCTTGATCGATTAATTTCAAAAATTGATTTCAACATTCTGAGCCCTTCCCTGTGCCTTGGACTTTTAAACCACACAGATGCCACCTTCTGTGACAATGGTAGGAAATCTGACACACTAATTTTCTTTTTCGTGGAGTGTTGAGGTTGAAATAGCCCCCAAGGCAAGCCCTCTTTATTAGCACTTAATGGAATAGCGCGCGAGTGGTAATTCACCCCAATAACTCCATCACACTAATTTCCATCAGTTGAAGAAAAAGAAAAAAATTAACACTGATTGTGTTTACATAACCTTTGAGGGGTAGGGAATACCATGCCAGTGACCTTCCCCCTCTTATTGCTGGTGGTAAATGGTCTTCCTTGTGAGGCCTCAGTTGCACATTGTCATTACATATAGAACAGGTTATTCTCTCTGTGACAGGACAATTAAAATGTAAGCATTGTGCATTTAGGAGATGTGCAAGCAATCGACCTTGAAAAGCTTTGTTTATATAGCTTACGGGACACAGTTACAGCTGTGTGAATACTTTATACAATCACTCCAGTGTTTTAAGCCTTTTAAAATTGCCTTTCTATAATTCAGGATCTGAAGAATTAGGTATCTTGATAACTATGTATGAGAGGTCAGAGAGACTGTTGTTATAGGGATTTTCACACTTTCCAATTTGTGTTATGGATGTACAAACTGTGCTAGTGTGGTGACCTTTATTCACACTGCTTTAATATTTCATTTCTAGAATAGTTGATGGCTAAGGTGCCCTTTGGTTTTTAAAGCCCATGAGGGTGGTTTTTTTAAAAAATTAAAATGCAGATTTTTGAATAATGGGGCTCAGTTTGGGGTAATATAAAAATAGAGAGGTTCAGCTCTAGAAACTATTCACATGAATAGTTGTGTTACCTTGGGGCAAAGCGACTTTTGTTTGAGCTACAGAATGCAGGGGTGAATGTGTAATATGGAGTTTGCAGACTTTCAGAAAGCCAAAATGCAGGGGCTCAATTCTGTATTTTAACTGGGGTGGGGAAAAGAATGGAAGAGAATCAGTGGGTTGCAGCAGCTAAAGAAGAGGTGAGGAACCTGTGGTCCTCCAAATATTGTTGGGCTCCAATTCCCAATGATGGGAGTTGTAGTTCAACAATATCTAGAGGCCACAGGTGGGCCAAATTGTTATTAATCCATGAAATCTTGGACCAGTCATTGCATCTCGACTTAACCTAGAACACAGGGTTATTGCAAGAAGAAAATGGGGTTGGGAAAACGAGGGAGGAAAAGCTCTACTTACCACCTTGAGTTCCTTGGAAGAAGGGTGAATTTAAAACTTAATTTCTAAAATATCATTGTGAGATTCACAGCAGGTTCAAGTGCAAAAAGGTGTCTTTTAAGAGCATTTGTTGTGGTTGCATTATAGTGAAGCTATTCAAACAGGGACTTCACCTACCCACCCACACCCCTTTTAAAAGTACAGAGGTTTGTGTTTTTAATAATGGCCAATGCGCAGAAACAGCGATGTGGTCACAGATATACTTATTCCTGAAAATAATTGCATGTCATTTGAAACAAAGCTTGGGACAATTGCCCTCCACATCCTGCCGTAATAGTACATCTGACAAAATGTCAGCTTTGGAACCATGTTTCAATTATCTTTTGGGATGAAGTTATTGTGTGATTACAAGAAACAATTGGATTTCACATTCATATCAACCCTCTAACAATTCTTCTGGGATATCTTAAAGAACAGGTGAGACCAGAACACTGAAACTGCCCATTTTGGACCCACATTTCCTGCCTGTGTTTCATGAACTGCTGCAAAGATATTGATATCAGATAAAAGGAATTCTCTGATAGTTCTGATACAACAATAATGGTTTAGTAACATTTAGTATCTTACCACAATAACAAAATTGATGAAAATTCTTCTTGACGTAGAAAACGAAAATTTGAAAATTTATTACATGAAACAAGAACATCCATTAGATCTATTTAAAGCTTTTTCACCTCTGTCATCATAAATAATTCATAAATAATTAATGAATTATTTATATTATAACATTTGAATAATATGTAGTATATTTTTAAAGAAAATATTACATTTATTCTACATTACATCAAACCCATGATTATTTAGAAGCAAACAATAAAATTAGTTAATATTAGAACATACAGTATGATATATTGTTTGTAGACTATTTGTTGTCTTGTAATGTAAAAACATCAATATTATAGCTTTGGTGCTAGACTCAGAAACCTCTGCTTGGGAGAGGGCCTCCTGAGAGCCCCAGTCTGGTGGAGACCCTGAACTATCTCAGGAAGCAGCCACAGGTGACCCTCTCCTGCAGGGATCTCTGCAGATGTTGAGGGAAAGAAAACCCAACAACCATGTCCTCCATCAGGATAGATAGATATCAACACTTCAGAATGAAAATGTCAACAATTGATTTCTGGTGAGCCAAGACAGCATCTGTCCCTGCAACAATATTTTAAGCTATCATCAGTAATAATAATAATAATAACAATAATTTTATTATTTATACCCCGCCCATCTGGCTGGGTTTCCCCAGTCACTCTGGGCGGCTCCCAACAGAACACTGAAAACAGAATAAAACTTCAAACATCAAAAACTTCCCTTAACAGGACTGCCTTCGGATGTCTTCAAAAAGTCAGATAGTTGTTTATTTCCTTGACATCTGATGGGAGGGCATTCCACAGTAGGGTTCTGATCAGTGCTTGAGCTATATTACTTGCCTGATCCAGGTCTTCAGCACTGTTAATTTTCAGCATTGCTGTGCTCTGTCCAGGGTCCTGATGTCTTACTGCAATACATGTTCGCCATTGCTGCCTGCTGATCTATGAACTCACCTTCGCGAAGCAACTCCTCCATGGCCCTCAGTTCTGGAAATCCAAGGGATCAAGGAAGAAATGGGGTATGAATTTGTATCGTCCCATGTATGGTATGAAACACCCCAGGTATGGTGGGAGAGACGTGTAGTTTGAAAGTATGAACCTTTTACTGTGCTTAACCCCAACATCACATTGGTCCATAATACTGCATCTCTAGCATTTTGTAAGAAGAAGTGTCTAGCTGGATCTAGTCCAGCATCCTTTTTCTTTAAATAGTTGCAAACCATATGCCTATGGGAAACCTGCAATAAGGGCCTGAGTGCAACAACACTCTCTGCAATCGTGATTCCCAACCATTGGTATGCATTCTGCCTCTGGCAGTGGAGATAAAACATAGGCATTATGGGTGATACAATAGCCTTATCTATCATGAATTTGACTACAGTAGTTACCTTTTTTTAAAATTATTTTTTATTAATTTCCAATAAAAAAGAATTTTTAGTCATACATTTTCAATACAATCACAAATACATATTTTTGACTTCCATCAGTTCATCCGTGAATCCTCCGTGTTCTCGTCTTTATACTGCAAGTTCAAAATTTGTCATTGTCTTTTATCTTAAAATCCACCTACTCCCCCTCTTCCCTTTTTTACAATGTTTCTATACATATTTCTTCACAAAGCTTCCTGTAAACCCACAAACGTTATTTGTTCATCACATATGCTTTTCATATAATCCACAAATTTACTCCAGTCCTCAGTGAACTTGTGATCTCGTTGGTTTCGGACTTTCCCTGTTAATTTATCTAGTTCTGCGTAGTCTGTT